ATGCTTTGACACCTTTAATGATTTTGTGAGGGTTTTGACCCCTTAAATATATTTTCCCAAACTAAATACATTATTCATCATAATATAGTATATACGTGTCTCAATGTGTGGTATACATATGCATAATTGAGTGCCTAAAATATATTTATGCACTATTGAAGCTATAGTATATATGCGTCATTGATTGAGGTGGGCTATCTTCACTTCTTGCATCAATGGCCATACATGTATCCTTATTTATGCATCTAAGCCAATAACTCGTACATCGACCCTAAGTGCCATTTTCAGCTATTTATTCTCATAAGCATCCCTCATTTATATCAAGGGCTGGCTTACGGCTCCTATGTCATCTATGTGAGATAGATTGTGTACTTCCTAATGGGAAGATCAAGTCCTCCGTAAGTGTCAATTGATATCCTTCATGACTTGGGTATACCACATGAAGGTGATGCTTATCTTATGAAAATCTTGTGAATATCAATTTGCAAATAGCAATGCTATGGGTTCTTTTCTACCTAGTGAAAAGAAGACAAAAATCACTGCCATGGGTATGATGGAGCGGCACCATTATCATGGGAAACCCTAATGAAATTGGTGGTGCTGTTGATTATATTGTGAATCTTTGTTGATGCATAAGGTTGGGCCCATGTAATGGAGCTTACAATGCCACTTAAGAGTTGATCGGGCCCTTCGCTTGTGTTAAGGAACAGCCTGGAATTGATAGTCCATCTCAGTGTGTGCTTGTGTTTCTATTGTGTGGTGCTGAATTTGCAGTACTTTAGTATCAGGGATCTTGAGGACTGGTGTTTATTTCCCGAGGGTTTGTTGCGGTTGAGGTAGAGTAGTTGGTCTTTGAGATTTTTCCCAAACGTCTCTTGACCTATATCGTTTGCTTTTTGTTCTTGTAGTCTTTGTCAACAATTTTTATTACTGATAAAAATGAAACTACAGTAAGAAGGCTAGATTCCTTTGAGCAAACCTTTTGAAATAACTCTTCTGTGTATCTCTGTTATTCCATTTAGCGTTGTCTAGGTTTTTTTAATACAATGAACCCAATCACATGCTCGCTTTCTGGGAAGAAGAAAATTTTAATCCTCACTTTTTCCTTTAAAGGTTCTGTAATCATCATAGGACCTAGTACAACACTTGGGATATCCTTGGTTTTGTGTTGTCTAAGTCGATACCCCAATATGGGAGTGTGTGAATATAACAAAATGTGCCCTGGCTCAGGTTCAAACCTGAGTACTTTTGAAAACCATTCATTCTACAGCAGGGGCGAGTTATCCTATGTGTAACTTAAATGTAAAACTCTTTTACTTTAAACGAGAATCACATCATTATGCTTTGACAAAGTAATTGTATTGGGGTTCTATTTAGTGATTATAGCTCCAAATGAGGTCAGTTTGGTGTCAAAGGATGGAACTGAATGGCAAAGGCGGCTTGCAGAGAAGGGAGATTTAATTTCTTAATAGAAATGGCCTCTCGAAGTAAAATCCATCCATGAAATATGGTTAATGTTCTAAATATGCAAGCTTTTCACTTTTTCTTTTCTAAAAAAAAAAAAATTCAATGGTAAAAGTGTATGACGATGCATATCTTTTCGACTCTTTAGAACGTAGATCTATAAATATGGCAATGAATATTTTGATGCTAACTGTAAATAACTAAATTGCTCGTCCACCTTTGTCATGGTTTTCCTACAAAAGTTACATTGATCAAATCTTTAGAATGAAATTTCATTTAGGAACCCATTTTTGTGGTGTGGATCAGAACGGATCTCATAATCTTGTTGAGTAGCGTCTTCTTTTTTCTTACCAAAATAAGGAAAGAATGATGAATTAAGCATGTTTCTCACCCAAAAGGGTTTTTGGAACTTGTATCTTGAAGAGTCTAGTTTTAGCAGCTTCTAGTAGATGTATGCTGCTCTTTTTGGGCAACTCCATCAACATGAGGTTTTATCGCATGTGTTGATGAGTAGGCAACTCCATCAAGTTGAGATTTTTATAGCTTGTGTTGATGAGTAATGATCTTGTTCTCTGTTTGGAAATCTGTTTAAACTTTGGAGTTTATTGCTATATTTGTAGATCCTTCATCTCAGATTTGGTTTTACAAATTGGGGTATTATAGGTTATGTATATTATTTGTGTGATAGTTTGACTGAGACGAGGGACATATTTGCTGGTGTGAAGTATTAATTTTGTTTATATTAAGTTTTCTTCCCTTGCTTACGAATAGATGTCTAGCTTATTAAATGAGGGGTTTATCTTAAATCCAGAATAATGCCCGCAGTTTCAAGTCATATGCATTATAATAGGCCTGGTAGTATGGGAGGCAGAGAAAGGGATACAATCGACGCTATATTTGATTGGGTTGCGTGAAAAGGGAGTGGGAGCATTGGGGAAGCATAAAGTCAAAATGGTACTCTATGAATGTTGTTTAACTTTAGAATTGGAGTGCTTAAATGTGTAGCATCTGCAGTTCTTTTTGCCTCGTCTTTTCTTGGGGAAGAAAGAAGAGAAAAGATTGATGAGCCGCACATTATGGGCACAATTGATGGGCATGGGATAGAACTCTGTATTGATACTTAGACAATAAAGAAGGTTTTCAAGGGATAAACAGAGCATTGTCATCAACTTCCAACTCTTGGAATGAATGGAGTTGTTGGAGTCAGGGTAAACCACATCCTTGTATTTATATAGCTTATGGTATTTGGCTCTATTGCTCTATCGCTAGAAATTAGTTCATAGAGGACCAACATAACTCAAGCGATGATTTTGATTGTGGAAATAGATAAATTGGAAAATTTTAGTTATGCAATAGCATGGGTATGTGCTCTGTTCTTTTTGCATTGATAGAGTTGGTAAATCTGTCTTTAAATAATTAGGTAAGGGTGTTTATGTCCTTGCCCATTCATATAGGATAGGTAGGCAAAGGTGATTCTAAATTAGTTTCTCTTTCTGGAAACTTTATCAGAAACAGGGTCTTGATTTATTACTTATCATACTTTATTCTTGGATTTAGATTTTTTTCTATAGGTATGGATTGAGATCTTGAAAAATTTTTGGTTATAAATTTGGGTTTGGTGGGTTGACTATATTTCTAACGATTTTGTACCAGTCTAAATCCTATTTTTTTTTTTTTTGCATGTTTTTGTATTTGATAGGTTATTGAAATGAATTTGATTTTGGCTTGTTTGGTTTAGTAAAGCTCAAGATTTATTTATTTATTTGTATTTGGAATTCATTTTTAAACCTGAACATTTCATCCAGCAGCTTAGTTTGGTTTTTCTCTTTGCTTCTTTAATCACTGCTTCGGGTTTAAGAAAGTTGTTGTTTTACTTTAAGGCAATGCAGGTTCAAACTGTGAACATTGTAACTTGTCCAAAAAGGCAACTAATGAAAGTTAAATTGCGCAGACTGCATAGCCATACAAGAAAGTGAAGATTGAAATTTATTTTAGTTTTTGGTCTGAAAAGTTAGTTTTCCACTGGTAAATACATTTATGATGATTCTATATGAAATTTTGAATTTCAATGATGAGCTGGTATCTAAATTTTCCGATTCATCTTTTGGCAAAACCCTATTACTTCAAATATATATGATTTTGTGCTTTTCTGTGATTGATGATAGGCTAGGTTGTTTTCTAGTGTTATGAAGTATTTTACTTTTGCATTTTTTCTTGTGGGGAAGTTACTGGTGGTTGTGGGATTTCTTGGATATATTAACTTTGATTGGTTTTTAAGTTGAACCCCACCAACTGTAACCTTTTTCAAATTGACATCTCTTAACCTTTCATCTTTCTGGTTATTTCCTGTTGTTCAAATCTCTCTCTTTGGAGGAAAAGAAGAAAGAAGATGGTGACCAAAACACTATTGCTGGAATTGATTGGTCATGGGATAAAACTCTATATTGATACTGTGATAACAATAAAGGATTCATGGAATAAACAGAGCATTTTCAACTTCCCACTGTCAAGTTAATTGCTCTTGTTGGTATTGGTGAAATCCTTGTATTCTTACATAGCTTATGGCACTTTGCTCTATTGCTCTACCTCTAGAAACTTGATCTTAGAGGACCAACACAACTTAAATGGTGAATTTGATTGTGGGAGTGAGAACTGATGGTTTGGAAATTGGAGATGTGCAATCGGAGTTTTATGTGATTGCGGCATATCAATGAAGCTAAATGAGAAGTTCTATAGGACAGAAGTTCTATAAAACAGTTGTGAGACTAGGATTGTAATACGGGGCAGAATGTTGTGCGGGCAGGAAACAACATTCCCATAGGATGAGTGTAGCTGAGATGAGGATGCTGAGATGGATGAGTGGCAAGGCAAGAAAGAATAACATTCAAAATGCATACGTTCAGGAGAACTTGAGTGTGGCTCTAATAGTCGATAGAATGAGAGAAAGTAGACTTAAGTACGTTGACCATGTGCAGCGCAAGCCTAGTACAACACGTGTTAGGAGGTGCAAGTTGGTTCAAGTGCAAGGCTCGAAAAGGGCAAGGGGTAAACACAAAATGATATTGTTAGACGTGGTGAGAAAAGATATAGGGATTTATAGTCTTATTGAGGATATGGCTCTTGATAGAGTAGAATAGCAAACAAAGATTCCAGTAGCTGACCCCAAATAGTTGGGAAAAGATACCTATGATGATGATGATGGATTGGAAAATTTTGCCTATGCAGAGGCATGGATGTCTGGTCTCACAGTGCCAAAGGATAGAAGTAATAGTGGTTGTAGTAGTAAGTGGATAGATTAATAGCACTAGTAATTGTCAGTAGTGATGGAATGGGGTAGTTGTAGTTTTTTTGTCACACGTGTGTGAGAGAGAGAGAGAGAGAGGGTTTTTTGTATATTCTTTGCTTATCAATTTAACGTTCCTTTACCTTTTGACTTCTCTTCAATTGCATCTTGATATCCACTGTGGGACTGGAACTGGATTAAAGTTACATATACAGGAGGAAAATACCCAATTAACCGCTCTTTATTGCTTCAGTATGGCTGAGAAGGCGGGTTCAGGTAGAGAGCCAGCAAATGAGCAAGCAATCGCTACTATGTATGGAGCCATGCGCACAGAGATCAACCAGCTATACACAAAGATAACGGAATTAGAGATGGAGGTTAGCATATCTCAAATTCGTGATTTTAAATTAATTTTTTTCAATGCCTTTTCGCTTCTCTGTTCTGATTAATGACATTGGTCTTCCATAACAAAATAGGTTAGTGAGCACTCTCTTGTTATTGGGGCAATTGAGCCCCTCGATCCATCGAGGAGATGCTATAGAATGATTGGTGGTGTTTTGGTAGAGAGAACGGTGAAAGAGGTTTTGCCTGCTGTGAAAAGGAACAAAGAGGGGATTGAGGAGGTGATTAAGAGGTTAGTGGAAGCTTTGGAGAAGAAAAAGAAAGAGGTGGCTGAGTTTGAGTCTAAGCATAAGATCAGAATTAAGAGACCAGATAGTGAGGCGAGAGAGGAGGGTGGGCGCAAGGAAGGGGCAGCCCAAGGGGTCCTTGTCGGCCCGGCAGGCGGGAACGAATGATGAGTCACTCTCTCTCTGTTTCTCTCTCTCCATGCGTGTGTGTTCTCAAGGACTTGATGTTTGTCTAATGGGAGAGGAAGGAGAGCTCATCTTTTATGTTGGGTTTTGGAGATGAGTTTCTCTCTTCCTGTCGGTGTGCGTACAATACAAAATGCGTAAATTTTTTGTAGAAGCAAAAGGTAGGGCATTTTTTATGTTTGTACAATATTAATTTTGCGAGTACCCAGGTGCTTACACCTTGAAGAACTTCTCAATTGAGTGAAGAATGAAGTAGGCCGGGTTTGATAGTGGATAAGGGGGATTTCCATCTCTCTCTCTCTCTCTCTCTCTCTCTCGCGCGCATTTTGGAAGGATGGTTTTGTGCATGTATTGTATTTCATATGAGTATAGTGGTGAGTACTCTTACCCAATATCCATCATCTATTATTATCTGCAAACGGTTGAGATGAATAATTACTTCTATTATAAAACGAGAGCGTTAGAAAGTGGAGAACAACTCATTTTGCACTGAGATAAGTACAGATAGTGGATATTGGGCATGAGCGCTCAACATTTTATGCACACACAGGGTAAGTAATGGTCATTGTGGAAGACTCTGGTGTGGGAATGCTCACATGTCAACCATTGTAGGTACGTGTGTTCCAGCACTTGTTTTTCAGGACTTTCTCGTATCTATGACTATGGTGTGAGGAATGGTTGATGAAGGTTACTTTCATGGGTGATACTCATCTCTCTCTCTCTCTCTCTCTCTCCTTCCCGGCCACACCCCAATAAAGAGCTTATGGTGAGAAATGAAAGCCCTTTATGAAAGAACACATCGCTATGCATGTTCAAGGACCCGAAAAACTTCAAATTCGTTTTCTAGCATGGTCTCTAAGAAAACGCTTCTTCTCCATTGAGGTCTCAAATTTTGATTTGAACCGAGTTTCAAAATTTTGGTCTGAGCCAACCGTTTTAATGAATGGTAGATTGAATATATTTAAAGCATTTTGAATGCTCAAAGCCCCTTTTGTCCGAGTGATTTGCTAAGGATCAGATCATCGATGGGTTCCAAAGTCGCCAAAAACACGATTTTGAGGTGTGGCCACACGGATTTTTGGTGTGGCCAGGGTTTCATCATAAATTGATCCATTTGCTAACTAATTAAGACGCTCACAGGGCTTTGTGCATTTGCATTTGTGCATTTTGACACTTAATACCATTTGTAATGCTCCATTTTCCTTTTCTTGTCTTTTCCTTATCTCTCGCTATTCCAACATGGAAAAAGTTTATGTAAGGGTGGGCCTAAACAATCAAATTAGGGTGCACCTCAAAAATTTTGCTAGAAAAGGTTATTTTGATGTTGAAAAACAGTCAATTTGATCTTATCAGACCTCTACATTTAATGGACATGAGAATTAGATTTCAAGTTCTGGAAATGGTGCATCCTGTAATGTATCATCTAGACCGTCAATTTTCAAGATTTTCAAATGTTCATAGATATGCTTGATCTATATTATTTTTAATCTTTGAATTTTATAATTCAAGATGAAAATAAACCTTAAGGTCATCATGAAGATTTCAAATACTGAAACAATGTATTCCGAGACTATTTGAGGATGCGCCTCACGGTTATTGTTTAGGACTTCAGCCTTAAATTGCACCCTTCCAACTCTTATGCGCCTATGTATCCATACAAGGATCGATAGCAACATGGGTTTTATATCGGTGGTGAATACTTTTCTCCTCCTTCTATTTCCTTTTTTTGTTTTTTTTTTGGGAATGCTGACAGTGTCTTTTTCCTTGCTATGTGCGAAAATTAATAAAAGGGAATTTATCGGAATAACTATGAGATAATAAACTATTAAACATTTTACCGATGTCTTTTGATTTAATTTCAAAATACCTATCCAAAGACATAGTTGCAAAAGGGTAAAATATTAAATGATTAATTTATTCTTAGTAGTTTGATAAATTTCCTTTAACAAAATGTCAATAGAAACTGTAATTTTCAAAATCTATGGACTACCAAAATTGAATGGCTAGACCTAAGTTTGGCCCAAGAACCTCATCATCATCATCAGAATCATCATCATCAGAGCTTCTCTATTGCTTCCCTTAAGACAATGAGAAATATGTGCTTCGGTTCCATTGTGGATATTCCTAATTCAATAAAAAATTGGGAGCATTCTCCAAGAGATGTTTTGCTCTCCTCTATAGCATCAAATCGCATTAATTGATGGGTGCAGTTGGCATACGGATACATCCGTAGTTGTAGAGGTAAGGTGCACCTTCAAATTTTATCATGGTATATAATTTTGATGAAAAATGTCCTTAGGATTATCTCAAATCTATTTTTATATCTAATTATAAAATTTTAAAATTAAAAAATGGTTTAAATCAATATAAACATATGAAAATCTTGAAAATTGATGGTGTAGATAATATGTTGTAAAATGCACTATTTTTGAGAAAAATCTTTTTATTTTTCATGGTCATACATCTCGATGTCGAGATGATCAATCAAAGAGTTTTTCAACATTAAAACTACTTTTTTTCGATGGATTTTTGAAGTGCATCTGTAGTTCTACATTATAAGGTTCCATCCTTATATAAATTTTTTCCTTAATTAAATGCCATTCAACAATTACGGTTCCTGCTATGTTGTCTGACTTTTTTTTTTTGAATGTTAACGGGAACTTTATTGAGCAAATGAGAGATTGCAAAAGGTAAATAACTAAAAACAAATGGCAAAAGAGAGAAAGAGAGAAGAGGGAAAGAGAAGAAAGCAAAAGATAATAAAATAGAATAGTGTGCCTTAGACTTTTCTCTGTTGATATGACAGAAGATCACCTCCCTGCCTTGTGTGGATAAAATGATTTCATCCATTACAGGCGTCAATCGTCATGGGACAAGGCTTGGATGAACACACCATTTGACTACATTTGTTGAATCTCTCTCCCTTGATAATGGTGCGAGCATGATCTTCCTGAAGATTAAAAGCACATTCTTTAACCGTCATCAATTTTGACTCATGAATATCACAGAAATTAAGTTGGCCATATAAAGATGACATATCTTTGTGAGTCCCTGAAGATGCCTCCATAACCTGTTTTTTTGAGATTGTGCGAGCACTCCCGTCAAAGTTCAATTTGGTTTCCACTCCGCTGATTTAACAACATTCTTTACATGGATGCTGAGGAGATGAGCAAAGTTCGTAAAAAATATTTCTTTGGATAGCTTTTCAGGTTTAAAGAGGCTTGTGCGTAATGAACCATTAGCCTCAAGACAGCACGAACAATGTCTGCTGGTGCTTTTGAGAGTCCCTTAAAAACTCTAAAATTCCTCTCCTTTCATAATGACCATAGCAATGCAGCAATTGTATGACATTGTACATCTTGTATTGAAGTCTGTCTCTATGTCCTCGGCAGTGCTGTTAGTTTTTTGGGGAAATGCTAATATATATATATATATATATATATATATGGAAAAGTCTTTCCAATGTTTATAGGCCAAAATGAACAGTGATTTTGCCTACCATCATCACCGTCCAAAGTTCATCGTACGGTCACGATTGTCTGGTAGTGTTTTATTTTTTATTTTTTTTCTACAAATTGGAATGATCTGAAATTTGGAGTGTGTATACATATTAGTGAGACACATTTAATAAAAATATAAAAAAAATAATTCATAAAATAAATTGATCAAAATACCCCTAAAACTTTTTGAGGGTATTTTGGTCAACTCTTTTCATGTAAAATATTATTTTGATATTTTTTGTAGATTCGCCTATTTGTGATGAACATAATTTTCAAATTTCAGGTTATCCTGATTTGTATAAAAATAATGAAAAATAAAACACTACCAGACAATCGTGACCATGCAATGAATTTTGGACGGTGATGATGGTAGTTAAAATCACTGTTCATTTTTGCCTATAGGCATTTTGTAGTATCTTCTACATATAGAAAATGCTTCCCAATGCCTATAGGCGAAAATAAACATTGATTTCGTTTACCCTCATCACATCCAAATTTCATCACATGGTCACAGTCATCTGGTAGTGTTTAAATTTTCATTTTTTTTTTACAAATCCAAATTACTTAAAATTTGGAACGTGTGTACATCTTAGTGAGGCACACCTAATAAAAATATGAAAACAATAATTACGTAAATAATAAATTAGTACAAACTACCCCGAAACCTTAACTAGGTTAGTTGTTATTATATTTATTGATATTTTTCTTAT